CCTCTTCTCTTTTCCCTATTATTTACCCTCCACTTTCTCTTCTGTGTGTCTTTCCTTTGGAGCTTTTAGCAATGCCTTCAGCATCAGGAACAGACCTTTAGACCAATGCTCTACCACTGATCTCTACAAATCCTGGCCTACTTTCTTCCAAGCTGGAATGCTTTTTAATATGGCGCAGTATCTCGTTACAAAGCGTAGAATGAAATGTAAAATATTAGAAATTGTTAGAAGGGGCTAGAAATTATCACATTTTAGAGATTTTTTTTTTTTCGCTTTTCCTCCAAATGATAGATATTAAAATGAAAACAAATGTTTCAGAAACTCTGACGATTAATAGAGCACATGGCAGAAACTAATTGGAGGCAAACTTAACCACTTTTTAGCCCCACTGGCTTCTTCTTTGGGAGGTGCAGGGGCTTAAGAATGGCTCTGTACACAAAAGTAATGGGGAGAAGTCAGATAGTCTGATAATTTTATCTACCATCCAGATTGAGTTATTTATTTTTATCCATTCTTGGTTGAGTTTTAAGGATTCATTTTATTTTCAGCCATTTGTGATTTTTTTTTTTTTCCCATTCTTAAGTTTTTCTTTCCTCATCTTGTTTTTTAATATCACATTTTCTTATCGTCCAATCAACTTGAAATTTGTTTTATATTTTCTAGTTTCTCATTATTTACAAGCAGATGTTACTTCCTTCTTTTTTTATACACACAAAGACATATATACATACACTAGTTTAAATGCCACCTGATAGGGTGGCTTTTAAGCTAGCTCCTGTGGAGGGCTCTTGATTGGGCATTATCACAATAGGTAGAGAAGAGATTTTATAGGCAACACTAAACTAGAGAACTCAAAATTGGTCACTGCATTGCATCAATATTCAAGCTTACCTTTTAAAAGTTCAATGCTAACTTTTTTGCCGCCACTTTATTTAAAGATAATTTGATGTATGTAGGTCCTTACTTTCTATACAAACAATTATTTTTATTTCATGGCTGATTTTCAATGGATCTTGCAATTAATTTTGATTATTCCCAAATTTATTTCCAAGTTATAGAAAATTGTTATCATACAAAAAAATTTGTTGCAAAAACTCACATACAGATATCACCAAAAACAATCGAAGTAATGAAAACTTTGGAATCAAAAATATCAGAATTATGGGCCCAGATCCAGCCTGGAATGTTTTTAATTTGCTCATGGAGTTGGCCCAATTCCAAAATGGTATGATATATTGGGATACAGCCTCTAGGAGTAAAGTTGAAAAAGTGTGACACAGTGACACACTCATATTCACATTTACTATATAGAAGATGAGCTATTGAAAGTTAGAGAGATGTGTCCCTTTAGTTGGAAATGTGTGACACACTGACATTTGCATTTATTATATGGATTATAACTGGTATTTTTAGTGGATACTCGTATTTGAATAAAAGCCTTGTATATATTTTTAAACAGTGTGTATTATGTCTATCAGTCTATGCACTTGAGAAAAGTTAAAAGTTGCTCTTCAGCAGGGTTCAAACATGCGTCTCCCTTTGTAGAAGAAATCAATGTCTGATCTGGCATGCTTTAAACTTCTTGGCAATGTTTTTCTTAAGAAATATATATGAGAATTGAAATCTCTTTTTACTGTGATTCTCTCTCTTATTCTGTACATATGTTTGTGTCTCTCTTTTACTGCATCTTCTCTCTCACTTTTACTTTGTGTGTGCATGAGTATTTCTCTTATTCTTTCCATGTATATATGTATCTCTTTTACTCTGTGTGTGTGTGTCACTGTCTTTATTTTACTCTTTGTGCACTGATTACTTTCTTTAACAATGTGTCTGTGTCTCTTGAAAGAAAGAAGCAAAACATTCTTCAATTTTTTCCTCACTTTTTCTTTCATTTTATTTTTCTTCCTTCATTGTTCTTTTCCTTCCTTTCTCTTTTTCATTTCCTTCCTTTCTCTTTTTCATTTCCTTCCTTTCTCTTTCATCACTCTTTCCTTCCTTTCATCACGCTTTCTTTTTAAATTTCCTTTCTTTTGTCAAACTTTTCTTTCTTCATTTTCCTTTTCTTTCTTTCATCACTCCTTTCTTTCATTTCCTTCCCTTTCTTTAGTCACACTTTTCTTTCTTTCTTCATTTCCTTCCTTTTGTTTAGTCACACTTTTCTTTCTTTCTTCATTTCCTTCCTTTTGTTTAGTCACACTTTTCTTTCTTTCTTCATTTCCTTCCTTTTGTTTAGTCACACTTTTCTTTCTTTCTTCATTTCCTTCCTTTTGTTTAGTCACACTTTTCTTTCTTTCTTTCTTCATTTCCTTCCTTTTTTTTTTTCTTCACACTTTTTTTTTTCTTTTCTTTTCTTTCTTCATTTCCTTCCATTTCTTTAGTCACACTTTTCTTTCTTTCCTTTTCTTCCCATCTCTCTCCCTTCCTTTTCTCTTCCTTTTCCCCATTTCCTTTCTTATGTCCTTCCTTTTCCAATCTTTTCATCTTCTCTTTTCTCTGCCCCCACATATTTTTCTACCTCCTTTGTCCCCTTCTTTAAACACTTTGATCTCTTTCTAAATGCATTGTCCTCCCCTTTTTTCTTCTGATAATTACTTTTCCCTCAATTTCATCTCCTCCTCCTATTCTCTCTATCTCATTCCTTCCATCTAAGAACATGTTTTTCACACATGAGCACATCAAAAACAGTCCCATTCCAAACTATTACGGCCTGCAGAAGGCAGCACCCATCAAGATTTTTGGCAACAAGGCAACCGTAAAGTCTTCTACAAGATGATTAAAGTTGTTCCCTATCCCCAAAATTATTAGTCTACTAATGGCACTACTAACAGAATTTATATTTACTACCCGAATACCTGTCCCACAAACAAAGAAAAGTTGCAATTGAAGTCCACTTACTTCTCTAACATTTCTGTATAAACATTTTCATCAAGACATCCATTTGAATTTCCTACTCTAGACATAGCTGACCATGAGAAAAGCATGAGAATAATTTTCTAATGTTTATAATAATATTTTTTTTGTATCCCATGACCATAAGGTCGTAGGGGCACTATGTGTACTGCAGCTGTAGTAGAAGTAGTGTTTCTTGGGCAAGATATCCTGACGGATTCCAGGTTGGTTTTGGAATTCAGAGTTACTTTCTTTTCAACTGGTTGCCACCCAAGACTATAGAACCCAGTCTGTCTTGCTATTCAACCCATAGCTGGGAGGAGAAGAAAAGGATTCATACCTTTCCCAAGGGTATTAGCATATACGTGAATGTAATGGTTCCAACTAGAATTCAAACTCAACTCTCCAATTCTTCAATCCAAGCCGCTATCCATCATGCCTCTACATAATAATATTAATAATTCTACTCCAATAGCTTCATGTCTCACACTTCCCATCTGTGGAACTCCCTTCCTCTTACTTGCTTTCCTGATAGATATAATCTTCAATTATTCAAATGCAATGTCAATTGACATCTTCAGATGCCTTGATCTAATTCCCCATCCTTCTCTTCATCCTTTTCTCTATCACATCTCTTTACTCTTCCTCCCACTCTCTGCAACCCCTTGAATGCTAGTAGCACTCCTGCCTTGCTTGGCGGGAAATGCTTAAAAAAGAAAAAAAAAAAGTAATTCCACAAACTTACTATATTTTTACTCATTTCAAGAAAAACTAAACAGATTATTTTGATTTATTTACATAATTTCATAATCTGTTTTCCACTCCATTTAACTTATTAGTAGTAATATGAAATATCAGATGACAACAATGCTTATTAATATGAATGCTGTAAGTTTTGATAAGGCAGATAGAAATTCTTTCTACACAAACACAATGAATTAATAATACTTTGACAGAAATATTGCTTATATATATTTTTTTTATATTTGAATTAAAAATAAATAATACAGTTGAAATATTCATTAAAATAGGTTTTTATAAGAATTTATGCATATGAAATATTAACACTTATGTTTTTATTATCCATTAATTTTTTCAGATTTATCTGACCCACACTGTACTAACTTCTAGCCTTAGATGCAACATCCATAGCTTATTTCATTCACTAACCAATTGCTTTTCTCTCTTTGTAGTATGAGGAAATTGTAATTGAAGTTCATCTCTAAAATTTCTGCTTTCAGCAAGGCATCTATTTTCTAAAGCCCTTTTTGTCATTATACTAAGCACACTTGAATTTCCTTCTGTGGATATAGCTACATAGAGCTGACCATGGCAGAAAGACATTGAATAATTTTCTAATGTTTATATAAGTAATAATAATAATGATTAACTAATACAAGCACATGGCCGAGTGGTTATATCATTCACTTTCTGATCATGAGACCCAGGTTCCAATCTCACAATGGTTGATTTTTCAGGCAGCTGATTTCTTGAAGTTATTGGTCTGAAGGAAGTGATTCCCAATGTGTCGCACCTGTGAAAAGTCCGAGAACCATACCAAGTTTTGACCCAAGTCTTCTAATGAAATTTGGTAGATGGAACCCTTGGAAACCATTGATGAGTGTACTAGCACAAAGTCACAAGTCATCATGACCAAGGATTTGAGCATGCTGGCCTTGATCACTATCTAGTCAGAGGTTAGAACTTAAAATATGTCAGAAAATCTGGCCAAAATTCAAAATGAGAGTATACATTTGAAGTCTGGTGAGTACACTGAGAGACAAGTCCAGCAAAAATGAGTATCCAAGTTTAAATAAATCATGGAATAATGACAATGATTCATCTCAAAATTTCAGATAATTCAAGGAAGACAAAAGATTGGCCTAAAAACAGTATAAAAATGGCCTAGATGAGGATATTAGTCTAAATAAATCATGGAATACTGACTCTTATCCAAGATCAAGAGAGATAAACCTTGTTAAATCCTGATAATAGTGAAATATTTATTAGGATTATCTCTTTTGATTTGCAAAAGCAGAAATTAACCAACTTCACCCAAACTGTGTCGCCATGTAAAAAATTGTGAAAGTATTCTTAAAAAAAAAACTTACCTGATGGAGAAAATTTATAATCAGGTTCAAGAGTGTGAGCCTCAAAGAATGTTTTCAGTATTGTTCGAAGACATCTCTGGTCCCAAATATCAGTCACTCGGCCGCCATATGTAATCTGCAAAAAATGAGGGTTTTTATTTGAATTCCTTAAATCCGTTACAAGCTGACATTGAATCTTTCAAACCAATTTCCTCTTCTTTTTCATCTTTACACCAAAATACTTCAGTCCATGTTCAGTTTTCAAGCCCATGTAAAAAGTCAGGATTTTGAATGCAGATTTTCAAAGCAAGCACACTATTCAAATTTTTGTGAACACAACATTCTCCCTTGCATTTTCTGCCAGTTGGATTTGTTCTAAATAGCTACATAAAGAGTGTTACACAATATTTATTTATTACTGTAAATGCTATATTTATGGGGTATGCATGTTTGAATAGGCATCTGTTTTTTTGTTTTTTTTTAATCTGTGAAATTAATAACTATTTTTTACTATTGTTCACCCAACACAAGGCCCAAGAGCCACTCAAGGTAGAAGGTTACTGAATGAGATTATTACTAGGGTGTAAGAGGTGCATATTACAATTCTAGGTCAACTGCCCAACTGACAAGAGCCCAACAGATAACTGCCTGATAGAGACAACTGCTCGACAGAGAAATGCCCAATGTTTATATATATATATATATATATATATATAGAATATCTATATATTTTTGCTGTTATTTGAAAGGTAAAGTTATGGATAATCGCTAACCATTTCACCCTCTTCGCATGGAGATGAAGACCCTGCGCTGAAGTGAAGCTTACTATTTGTTGGATACAAGATACTTTTGAGAAGGAAAAATTATGTCATGAATCTGCAAGAGTTGGTTTGTTTAATATAAAATCATTCTTATTATTATTACTATTTGCATTATTTATATTATTGTTAACATTATTATTATTGTAACAGAAAACAGCAAAATCATAAAGAATATATCAAAGGTTTAAATCTATTGAAACTTACTTTTTAGTACGATAAATAATTGCCAGTGAAGATCAGAAGAGAAGAATCAAAATTTCTCTCTCACTCACACTTCAAAAAATTGGTTATATTTTTCAATGTGCAAGAAAAACTTCTATTGCACTGAAATTATACTATGATACTTTCCATTTTAAATGATAGCAAAAATATATAAATATTCTACATATATATATATTTGTGTATTTAGGCAGCAATCCATCTTTCATGCACATTTTATTGAAAATGACAGACAAGGTGCTTTTATTTAGTTTTTTATACAATTTCTCATGCGATCTAATATTTTTTTCTTTTCAGATGATAAATTTATATAAAAACTGCCGTAATGTTCTTTTTATCCAAGTGCTTTCGGCTATACATTTAGCCCTTTTCAAGAATTATTTTTTAACTGTTAAAATTAGAAATGAAATAGTTTGTTGTATGTATGTTTTATAAAATGTTTTCATTTTTTTGTTTCAAAACATGGTCAAGATATTATGTCCATGTTCAAAGTTAATATTAAGTGTTGGTTTGTTTGTTTTTATTAATAAGGCTTCCATTATTTTTAGCCTTTTTTATATAGATGATGCTATTATATTAGTGTTGTCGACATGTATGTTTCGAATAGTGTCCGGTAGGTCTCCATGAATATTTAAATGGGATCTAATTGAGCTATTGTCAGAAAGGTGTAGTGTTAGTCTGCATATCAAACATGTTGTAATGTTTTCTATATAATTATTTACGAATTTTGATTGATGAGGAATACAATTTCTTAATGGGCATTTAAATATAAACATCAGGCATTTTTCCATTAGGCAGTTGTCCCTATAGGGCATTTTTCTGTTGGGGAATTGTCCTTATTGGGTCTGTTGAGCTTGTCAGTTGGATAGGGATCCGTCAGATGATGACATGTAGTACAGATATAGTTTGACACTAGACTTGAAGAAGCTAAGATTGTAGTTATTGGTGAAGCACCCACTTAGGAATCTGTTCTGGCCTTGCAATCAAGAAGTCCTTCTAAAGAAAATGTAACCCACAGAAGGAATCAAACTTGTATGCAATTTTTCAATTTGGGAAACCACTTTTAAATCAAGTGTGTGGCTGATTGGTTGATTTTGTTTAGCAGCGTATCAACATCTCTATACGCTATTTAATGCCAAAATCTAAATATTTTGCATGCAAGTTTATGCTTTTAACTACAGTTAATATATTGCTGGTAATTTCACTACAAAAATGTATTGCTGTTAATTTTATTATAAAAACGTATTTTTATACTTTTTAGTGCTGGATTGATTGTTATTTTGCTATTAAAATATACTGTTGCTAATTTTATGATAAAAAGGTATTATTGGTAATCTATATATATAAAGTCAGTCAGTTTGTTTGTTATTGAACTCCTTTGGAGATAGACTCCCATAACCATATATATTCTGAAACTATATTACCGAGAGTACTTGGATAAGTATATTTCATTTTGATCAAAGGGGATCTCCGGGGGAAGGGGTGTGCAAAAACCATCCATTGAAATTTTTTTTTTCCCCTTTGATATAAATTAAATTTAAATTTGAACAAGGGAATGACTCCTATCCAAAATATAGGAGAAAGCCAGAAGATGGAAACACATCAGCAAGATCAAAATGAGACAATATGGATATCAAGTTGAGCAAGAAATCACCAATGAGTGAGTAGTGCCTTACAATACATATTTCTTGCAACAATTCAACTGTCATATCAATGTTGACATCTGTTCAACTCATTCTATCATCAAAGAGCTCAAATCAAGCTGTTTTTGCACATACACACACTCCCATTGATTTTTTTCCCTTTGATTTAAATTTAAACAAGGAAATTACTTCTGTCCAAAATAAAGGAGAAAGCCAGAAGATGGAGGACACATTGGCAAGATCATTGAGTAATATTCAAACGCATCCTTTTTCTCCACAAATTCTAACAATGATTTAATATCAATCAATCATTTTCTTACAAAAAAATGTGTGACGCACAGCAAGGCATGAGTAATTTGGTTAGTTTTATTATAAAAATGGATTGTTGGTAACTTTATACTGTTGATTTTCATATGGTGGTTTACTACTTGCCCATAGCTAGGACCGAACAGGTGCTACCACCCCAAGTTAGGGTGAACCTGGGAACAACAGCAGTTAAGAGTTGGTTCCACATGCCTCAAAATCTCTAATCTCACAATCAGAGGCCTTGCTGCCAGATGTAGTTTATCATCATACACAGGACATTTTAAGCCACGTGTGTTTTACCTATTAGAAGATACCAGGGATGACAGTTCATTAGATCAGATACTGAGTCTTCTCCCTCTTTGGAGGAACACCTACCTGATTCACAAAGTCTTCATAGGTGTAGCTGTACTCACCATTCTTGGCCAAATGTGGGTTGGCAAGGCTATTTAACACACAGCTGGAGGTTTTGAAATCAGAGTTGTCCTTCTCCTAGACTGGTTGCCATCCAAGGCTCTTCCAATTAGGCAAGTAAAATTAAGCTTAACCCTTCAGCATTCAACCTGCCTGAACCCAGTTTGTAAATATTGACTCTCAATGTTTAACCCTAACTTGCCCCATGTAAACTCTATCCATAATATATAATGACATCATCGCAAATAATGCAGGAATTCACTAAAACAGTGAGACTTTGAGAACTGATATTTATGGGGCAGGTTTGAGTGTTTTGGATACTAAAAGGTTAAAAGTGGTTTACCAGATTGAAAAAGAAAATTCAGGTTCAATTCCTTTTCAGAGGCACATTTTTGTTTGTAGGACTTCTTTGATCTCTAAGGTGATAGACACTGATTTCTCCATACAAAAATAAAACTGGGATATCTATTCAAACACATACAGGGTGTGATGGATAAATTGTCACCTAAATTATGCAAAAATGAAAATAACACTGACATCTCATTTTAACAGATATATTTACCAAAATTACACAAAAATATCTTGAAATACTAAAGAATAAATTTATTCAATAAAGTCGCCATTGGCTTCAACAACGGCCTGCAGACAACTTCAAAATTTCCTTCAAATCTTCTGGACGGTCTTGTTTAATTTAGTGAATGTTGCCATAATCCTTGCTTTTATTTCACTTTGGTGTTATGAGTTTTGTTGGTCTCTCACTCAATTGCACCCCCACACATGGGGGTGTAGTCTGGAGAGTTGGGTGGCCAGATATAAATGGTTCTGTGGTCATAGGAATTGTCTGACAGCCATGTCTGGCTTCTCCTGCTTGTGTGGCATGGTGCAGAGTCATGTTGCCATACATAGGGTCTTTCAGCAGCCACTCTCTTGACCCAGGGCAGCAGTATCTCCTCAAGGCACTTGATGTAGGCCTCAAACACTGTAATGTTCATATTGGAGCTTCTGGTGCAAATGCCAAGAAGTACAACATGCATTTGCCAAATATCTGGCAGAATGAATCATGTCATGGTACTCTTTTTCTCACAGGCAATGCTCAGCTGACCTTACTATATTGTGCAGTTGACAAAATCAAAAAGAAATAACGCACATGCGCGAAATTAAAAATATAAAATGGCGACAATTTACCCATCGCATCCCTGTAATAGTAATAGGCATCCATTTATGTCTTGAGATAATGGTAGTGCCCTTTTTGGTAGTCGAACATTGTCCTCTTGCAAGCAGCATTTGAAGTGGCTTAACAGTCCGATCCTTGCATGTCACTCTCTTCCGCAGGCATGGCAGATGAAGCTGGAATGTGGAATGGCAGATCTGACATTGCTTGCTTGCTCTCTCTCTCTGGTTCGTTTTTTCTCTTCTCCAGCAGTTGGCTATGCCTTTTCCCTGCCTTTGTGACTCCTGTATGATCAGCATGGTTCCAGCCACTGTGATCATCTGGTAGCTGTTCCCTGCTACCACAGTTGATGCCTGTGCATTTCAGGTTTGGTTTGTTTTATAGCATATTAACCTCAATGGGTTACTTAATGCTGACAAGATTCTTATTGCTGGTATTTTTTTTTTTTTCAAAAATATATTGCTGCTAATATTTGTTTATTTTTTTTTTTTTTTTTCCCCAAAATGTATTGCTGGTATTACAACCTATTTTTACACTTTCATAGTGTTTTGACCCCAGTTTAGGG